TTCTCCTTAACCCTATTTTCCTAATTTTTCTCTTTTCTCTTACCTCCTCTTTACTCTTAAACCCTAAATCTTAATTTCAACTTGGTATCAAAGCCAATTTATCTAAACTTTGGAAGCCACAATAACACTTAGGAAGACTCAAAGGACCTGTTGGACGGATGACGTCATCGTCAGAATGATGACATCATCACCAAGTTGATCAAAACCGGGATGGTATAGCTCGGTTTTTCCTCCTGAGTATGATTATGATTTTTGCAGATTTGTTTGAAGCTATCTGAGGTATGTTTCGTATTTTTGAATGTTTTTTGGATTTAATTTTCTGATCTGCGATTTGGATGAGTTTGGGAGTGCAATACCTACTCTAAGTTGATTTGTGGGTGCCGACTTGGACTCCTGGGGGAGAATTCGTACGAAGCCCAGTTGTTTTTTGAGCAATTTCTGGTGATTTCTTGGCTTCGGCATTCACCTATTATGACTAGCAGCTCCGGTAGCCTTCTTCTTTCTGTGTTTCGAGGTTGTGGCTGAGTTTTTTTCTTGTGTGTAGCACCTGTTTGTGAACTCTGTTAGCCAGAGATGATTCCGTTGGCAGGTTGGGACTCTGGCAGGTTCATTCGGCACTTTGGTGACCCACTAGTAGCTCCCTTTGGTGCTGGGCAGTCCCCTAATGTCTCCAGTGGCTGTGTGCTTGATATTCCTTGGGAGATCATTTTTTGGTGCTGGGCAGTAGCAGGTCTGTTCCTATTGGGCAGTAGCCGCAACTGAATTGTTTCTCCTATTTATTTGCTACTTGTGGCCTATATGAAGACTCTTTTGAAGTGTAGATTGCTGGTTTTTGTGTGAGTTGATCTTAAATTGCTACGCAGCTATGTTTGACGTTAGTGAAGGAATAACCAACAGTGAGAAGTGTGTAGTGAGTCGTATGGGTACACTTGGATGCAACCCATCTCTTCAAATCAGTCCGGTGAAGGTGGATGGAGGGAACTTCTTAGCGTGGTCTTGATCGTGCCTACTATCAATGCGAGCAAGTGGGTTAAATGGATACTTGATAGGAGCAAGTAAAAAACTCAAATCTAAACCTGATCTTAGTTAGTGGATCTCTAAAAATTCGTTAGTGATGACATGGTTACTCAACTCAATGCAACCTAATATTAGCCGGGCTTTTTTGTTGTTGTGAGATTTGGTCATAGTGGCTCAGACATATTCACAAGTTGGGAATGATGCTCAGATTTATGAGCTTCGATAGAAGATTCATGAAACCAAGCAAAAGGATACGACTCTCGAAGAGTATTATGCAAAATTGAGTAGTATGCAAAATTGAGTAGTCTGTGGCAGGAGCTAGATTATTATCAGAATTTTCAGGTACACTGTGTTGAAGATATTTCTAAATTTCAGAAGTTGATAGAAAAAGAACGAGTGTATGACTTTCTTACAGGTCTTAATATGGAATTTGATTAGATTAGTATACAAGTTTTGGGTAGAGATCATTTTTACTACTTTAGGCAAACTTATTCTTATGTACAGTAGGAGGAGAGTAAAAAGATGTCATGCTTCACATCCTTGCTTATGATAGGTCTGCTCTAGCAGTTGTACCACAGAGAGAGAACAAATTCTCTCAACCTCATGGTAATGGTAAGAATGGAGGATTGGAGAAGGATCTGTTAAAGTGTGACTACTGTGGGAAGACAAGGCACACTAAGGAGTATTGTTGGAAGCTACACGGTCGTCCATCATGGGGGCGTGGTGGTAATAGGGATGGTCCAGTACACGCACATGCTCAGAGTGCTGATCTTATAAACTCCTCTAGTGGCCCATCTTCATCTACTAGTCCTGATAGTGCGAGTTTTACTAAGGATGAGATGCAAGTTCTCGGGCGTCTGATGACCCGGCTGTTTCATCTGCATCTGCTTTCACTTAATATGCTTCCAATTTTGCTCACACAGGGAGGCATGCCATTGCATTTATTGCCTATTATTCTTCTAATCCTTGGATCATCGATTCCCGAGCCACTGACCATATGACAGGTTCTTTGCGTCTTTTCTCCTTTTATTCCACATGTGGCGGTAGAGACAAAGCTAAGGTAGCAGATGGTTCATTGTGCTGTAGGATAGAAGAAGAAGAAATAAGATAATAGGAAGAAGTAGAAGAAATACCAAACTCACGAAAGAATTAGGCCAAGAAACACACAAAAATTTTTATAGAGAAACAAGTTTTTATTATATCACTCTCTCTAATAAAAATAGTTAGGATTACACCATTTTTTATAGGCCAAGTTCGCTACCAAAATAAAAACTATTATCCTACTAAAATTCTAAAAGAGTTTCATAATCAAAATTTTAAACTCCTATACTACTAAAACTCTATAATTATAATAATTTCATAATCAAATCCTAACTACTACTCTTAGTCAAACAAATACTCATAAATCAAATAATAATAATAAAACTACCAATTACACTTCCCATTGGACAAAAAATTCCTAATCTTTTGCCAAAACTTCCAAAGTCGATTGTATTGATCCAACCAACCAATGGCTGCACCATCAATTCTCCTCTGCCGAAAAGAACTCGACTCCGGCGAATAAGGAGGAGGGCCAAGAATATCATCTGCTGGAGAAGCTCTTTGAATCAATAACAAACTCTTTTTCAATTGTAGTGTATGCACATCAGAAGCACAAGTAAAAGTATACTTCTTTCTTCCAATTGCAAAAGAATAAGTATTAGCACGCCCCGCATGTCGTGCATTATGATCCCATTTCCAGGTGTGCCCTAACAGTATGTTACAAAGCTTGAGAGGCAGCACATCACACATGACGGTCTCCTTAAAACTTCCAATGGTGAATGCAACCTAACTCTGATACCAAATTGATGTAAGACGGAAGAAGAAGAAATAAGATAATAGAAAGAAATAGAAGAAATACCAAACTCTTGCAAGGATTAGGCCAAGAAACACACAAAATTCTCCACCGAGAAATAAGTTTTATTATATCACTCTCTCTAATAAAAATTGTTGGAATTGCATCATTATTGATAGACCAAGTTCCCTACCAAAACAAAAACTATTCTCCCACTAAAGTTCTAAAAGTGTTTCATAATCGAACTTTTAAACTCTTATACTACTAAAACTCTATAATAATTTCCTAATCAAATTCTAACTACTCCTAGTCAGACAAATACTCATAAATCAAATAATAATAATAAAACTAACAATTACACTTCCATTTGGACCACAAATTCCTAGTCTTTCGCCTAAGCTTTCAAAGTTGATTGTATTGATCCAACCAATCAATGGCTGTATGAGGGAAAGATTCCATTCATTGTTTTCCATCTATGTCTCTATCTTCAATCCTTCACGTTCTAAATTTTTTTGCTAACTTACTATCTGTAAGTAGCATTACACAGTCTCTAAATTCTTTGTAACATTCTTTCTTTCTCATTGTGTCTTTCAGAAACTGGGAACGGGGTGAACGATTAGCAATGGTAGGTCTCATGGTGGTTTATATCTGCCGGAGGATCAATTTTCTGAACCACTTCCAGCTTCTAGTGCTATGGCCCTCCAACAGTTACATCAATGGCATCAAAGACTTGATCATCCATCAGTAGGAGTATTAGAGAAAGTTTTTCTAATTTTGATGAAATAATGTAATAAAGATAATTTTCTTTGTGATGCTTGTGAATTTGCCAAAGCATACAAGAACTTATCCTAGCAATAATAATAGAAGCTCTGCTCCATTTATAATTGTTTATTATGATGTTTGGAGACCATCTCGTGTTGTTTCTCTTGCTAGTTATTGATGGTTTGTTATTTTTATTGATTGCTATACTCGGGTTACTTGAGTTTATTTATTGCTAAATAAGAATGAAGTATTTACTTATTTCAAAATTTTTTATAAATTGGTTAATACTCAGTTTGATGCCAAGATTAAAGTTCTTAGAACTGATAATGAGATTGAATACTTTTGGGTGAATGTTGGGCTTACCTTACAGAACATGGGATTCTTCACCACTCTAGTTGTGTTGATACACTTGAGCAAAATAGTGTAACTGAGAGGAAGAATCGATATCTACTTGAAGGGGCTCACTCTTTGATGTTCACTATGGGTATCCCTTCATTTTTTTGGGGAGATGCTGTCCTCACTACCGCATATCTCATTAATCGTATGCCTTCGAGGGTCCTTTATTTTGCTACTCCTATAAGGTTGCTTTAAAGGTCAGTGTCAATTTACTCTATTCCTCCAAAAGTGTTTGGTTGTGAGTGTTTTGTGCAAGATTACCGAAACACTAGAGGAAAGTTGGATCCAAAGGCATTGCGTTATGTCTTTGTTGGTTACTTTGCTACCCAAAAAGGGTATAAGTGTTATCATCCTCAGTCTAGGAAGGTGCATGTTAGTATAGATGTCACATTCCATGAGTCAGAGTCCTATTTCTCCTCTTCTCTGTCATCCTTTCAGGGGAGCAATGGATTGAAGACGAAGAGATGCACAAGGATGGATACATGCACTTACCCCTTAATTAGGGCTTGAGACATAGGGAGGCTCAGGGAGAAACAACTAATCTGGGCTTGAGTCAAGGGGAGCCTCAGGGAGAAACATCTATTCAGGGGGAGCAAATTATGTATGGAAGATTGGATGAGGATTTGCGATGCTATACTCGACGACAAGTTAAGCAAACCACCACTCATCAGCCACCAAATCAACTATTGTCTCCGGGCTCAGTCTCTAAGATTTCTCCCCCGATATCAAGTAATGAGTCTCATTGTAACAATCCTGTTGATGATATCTCTTTATCTATTGCTACTAGAAAAAGAGTTTGGACTTGTACCCAACATCCTATTTCTAAATTTGTCTCTTACAACTCTTTATCTTCCTCCTATTGTGCTTTTGTTTCGTCTTTGTCTTGTATATCTCTTCCCTAAAATTGGCACGAAACCCTCATAGAACCCAAGTGGAAAGCAACCATGGTAGAAGACATGAGAGCCTTGGTAAAGAACGAAACTTGGGATCATGTATCTCATCCAACAGGAAAAAAATCAGAAGGTTGTAGGTGGGTATTCATTGTCAAGCAGAATGCAGATGGTACAGTGGATAGATACAAAATAAGGCTAGTAGCTAAGGGGTTCACACAGATGTATGACATTGACTATTACAAGACATTTACTCCGGTAGCGAAGATAAATTCCATTAATATCATCTTTTTTGTGCTGCCAATCTAGGATGGGATTTACAATAACTTGACATTAAGAATGCATTTTCCAAGGAGACTTAGAGGAGGAAGTGTACATGAATATCCCCCAATTTTTCTTCGCCAACTATAGAGGAAAAAATATGTAAGCTAAAGAAGTCTCTTTATGGACTAAAACAGTCTCTAAGAGCATGGTTTGATAGATTTCATAAGGCAATGGCCATGTTTGGATACAGGCAAAGTCATGGATATCACACAATATTCATCAAACAAGGGAGTAGTAAGATCTCGTTTCTTATAGTATATGTTGATGTCATAATATTTACAGGTTATGACGTGGAGGAAGTGTCCAAACTAGAAGTTCATCTTGCAAAAGAATTTGAAATCAAGAATTTGGGGCGGTTATGCTAGTTCCTTGGGAATGAAGCGGCCAGGTGTTACCCCTTTAGCCATTGGCAGCATTTGGCATCGGGTAACCTCGCCCATAGGCACCCATGCCTTAGCTAAAATGGCAGAAGTCCCATGCATGACTGAGGGAAACAGTCTATGCACATGGGCACGTGGGCATAAGTCAGCATGCAAGCA